AGGCAGCGGGGGAGCAGGGTCGGCGCAACTGCGGAGGGTCGGCGCAGTGGATGAGGAGGGTCGGTGCAGTGGGGGAGGAGGGCCAGCACAGTCGGGGAGGAGGGTGGGCGCGGTGGAGGGCGGGAGGGTGGGCGCAGTCTGGGGGGAGGATTGGCGCAGGATCGTCAATGAAAATATATACACTTGCTTGACAACCGAAATTAAAAGCTCACATGCATCTAAAATCATGCACACAGCCAATGCAAAAATTCATCAATCTGTTGATGGGGGAATGAAAAGGAGTGTCTCTCTTGCCATCCACCTGCCTCCATCCTGCCTCTTCCATCATCCATCGTCTTCGTTCTCCTTCTCCTTGCCCCTCGTCCATTCTCCGACCTTATCCCTCAATCTGGTCATCATGGTCATCGCTGACCTCATAAGTGTCATCGTCATCCTCATCATGCTAGTCATCACCGTCGTCGACGTTGCCGTCATCTCCGTTGTCAGTGTGGTCACATCATTGGTGTGTGTGTGTGTGTGAGTGTAGCCCACCGCTCACGTTTTCTGCATCCACCTCCCGGGTGCTCGGTCCTCTGTCCATCCTCTGGCTTCCTCCTCCGCGCATTCTCCTCGTCCTCCTCCCTCCTCATCCGTCCTCCTGCCCCATTTTTCGGGCTCCCTCCCTCCTCTCCTAGACCCTCGATCTTCTCTCTGCCTCCATCAATCAGAATCAATCAATCGGTCCCTCGTCCTCGTTCCTCCTCGATCTTCAGTGCTCGTCAGTCGATCATCGGGGTCGTGGCCGTTCTGCCTCCTTGTGCTACTCATCACCCTTGCCCTCCTACCCTTGCCCTCGTCCCACTTGTCACGGTCGTCGCCGTCATTGCTGTGTGTGTGTCCGCGTGTGCACACGGTTATACACGACTCCACAAAAACAACGGCATGACTGCGCCAAGGTGCCCACTCACGCCCTCTGCATCTGCCTCCCAGGTCCTCTCTCCATCCTCCAACCTCGTCCTGTATTGTGATCCTCCTGCTCCCTCTATCCTCTCTTCCTCCATCCTTGTCGTGCTCCTCCCTTCTCCTACTCCCTCCATTCGTCTCCATCAATTATCCTTGCACACCTCCATCCCTTCGTTGTTGTCCTCCTCCCTCTTTCCTCGCTCAGAATCTTCCGCTGCAAAATCGGAATGAATCGTTCGTGTGTGTGTGTGTGTGTGTGTGTGTGTGTGTGTGTGTGTGTGTGTGTGTGTGTGT